TCCAGCCACACCTGATCACCAACGTGCCAGTTGAGAACTCTGCGCGTCTGAAGTAAGGCAGCTTCGGTGCGATTGGCCATTGCTGCGAGCTTGTCGCGCACGACATTCTCATTCACCTGGATGAGATCAAGTGTAGATTGCACCTCAGGAATCACCGGACTGAGCGTCAAGTCCATGGCGGAGCGAGGATTGCGACCGTACTCCACTTGAAAGGCCGAGAGACCCGTTTCCTTGCGAGGCGCATGGTTGAGGGCAAACTCGAGAAAAGGAAGATGAGAGCTCCAATCGTCACGAGCGGCGGTCAGGCGCGTCCTGAGCATGTCGAGGATGGTAGCGTTTGCGCGTTCCACACGGCCATTGCTCTGAGGGTGATACTTGGATGAGTGGCGGACCTGTACACCCAGAGTCTCAAACAACGCATCCCAGAAGCGGGAAGACAAATGTGAGCCTCTCTCGGACATGATCGCATTGGGCAGACACCGCGTTCTGTAGAAGTAATGCATGAAAAGTGGTACCAAGTCATGCGTCGTCGCGTCATTGATCGTCGGAGCCAAGGTAACATGCTGCGAGAAGGAGTCAACCATGACGAAGATGGCGTCAACGGAGAGTACGTCGAATTTGTCAGCCGGAACGTCATGGCTCTTTGGAAGCCCCACAGGCCTCTGCTTGTATGCCTTGGCGGCTTGGCAGGTCAGACAAGAATGCACATAATTCTCAACATCACGCTTCATGTTGGACCAATATACCTTGGTGGCCAGGTCGAGATATGTCTTGTCAGAGCCGAGGTGACCCGCTTCGTCATGACCATGCGGAGTATGGCTGCCGCATGCGATGGGGATGCAGATGCGACGACGACCCAAGGAGTCTGATGAAGAGCAGTTCGTCTTGGTAGATGAACGACTTGCAGCCTGGTTGTCCTACCAGCTCGCCGTCACGTCCTAGTTGGAAGAGGATCTGGAAGTCCGGGCAGGTCGCATAGTGATGGAGGAGCTGTTGAGAGAAGTTGGCATTGGTCAGGATCTGGATGTGATGCAAACCCACGAGGAGATCTCTGGCCATGTCGTCAATGCGCGTCTCGCGAGCTGCAGCGGATGCCGGATCGGGCGAGGAGTCGACCACACGGCTGATGTGCTCGATTTCCCAAGGCGAGGGGATAGCTCAGGCTGAGTCGTCAGGCGAATCAAGCTATGATGATCGGTTTTGACTTTGAAGCGGCGTCCGATGAGGTAGTAGGAGAAGTGCTTCAAACTCTCCTTGAGAGCCAAGAGCTCGCGTTCATAGGTCGAATAGTTGCGTTCAGCGGAAGACAGCTTCTTGCTATAGTAGGCGATTGGATGCTCATTGCCATGTCGATCGCGTTGATGTAGAGTCGCGCCAATGGCTAGGTCACTAGCATCGGTGTACAGGATGGTCGCACGATCCTGCTGAAAGTGCCACAAGACTGGAGTAGTGGCTAATGCCTGTTTCAAGGCATCAAATGCGATCTGAGCAGATTTAGTCCATACGAAACGGCGCTGACTGTTCTGTAAGAGATCTGACAGCGTAGAGGATAGGCGCGCATAGTTGCTGACGAATTTGCGATAGAAGTTTGCCATCCCAAGGAATGTACGCAGTTGTTTGACGGAAGCCGGCGTCGGATATTGTTGAATGGCCTGGACCTTGTTAGGCTCCGTGGCGATGCCAGCTTGGGTGATGGTATACCCCAAGAAATCAAGCTGCTGTTGCATGAATAAGCACTTGCTACGTTTGACATAAACTCTGTGCTCACGGAAGCGCTGCAGGACGCGGCGAATATCCTCGAGATGCGCTTCTTGCGTGCCCGCTGTACAGAGGAGCACATCATCAACGTACACAAGCGCGTTGGGGATGTCAGCCAGTATACCTTGCGTAAACTTTTGGAAGGCGGCCGTCGCTGTTTTCAGACCGAACGGAAGCGCTTTGAATTTGTAAGCCCCTTGCTCAGTCACAAATCCTGTGTACTGACTGCTCTGAGGTGTGAGCTTCAGTTGCCAAAACCCGCTAGCGGCCGCAGCAGGAGCATGCAGGAGGAATAAAATCCCTTAGACGCGATACCCGGAGGCAGCCGACTGACCACTGTCAGTCGAGACGTCCGCTGTTACCCCTCCTAGCGACTGTTGCTTGGCCCTTCATGCTTGTCTGGGGCGCGGCTTCGCGCGTGGTCTGGCGGTGCCGGGTCTGCTGTCGGATAGTTGCCAGCCGCGAGTGCTGGTTCTTTTCGGGCTTGTGTTTTGTGTGTGTTTGTGCAGCTTCTCGCTGTGCGCTGTGTGCATGCAGGTTTAGCTTGTTCCTGCATTGTTCTGCTTGAGGCACTTTTTACCTTCTGCGAGTAAAACTTCCGACTTCCAGTCACATTGCGCTGCGCAGGCGGAGGAATATAGTGCTCATGAGACGAGTCAACGAGCGCGCGCAGACCAGGGATGTCACCGAGTCATAACGGTGTACCACGTAGCGTCCTGCAATATCAGGCACAGCCTCCGAGTCTAAGTCCAGGTTGCAGAGTCACTTTACTCGCATAAGGGCACGGTAAAAAGTGCCTCAAGCAGAAGAAAGCAGCCTCGGCAACAAACACCTTCTGCGAGTAAAACTCAGAGCAAAAACGTCTGGCAGAGAGCACACAGCAACCTTGACTTGAAACGCGGCGGCGCCTCGCAGGCCTGGCCGCACCGCGGCCCGGAATCCGAGCGGCGAACCGGACGCGCCGGACCGTGACCGGGTCCCCGGGCCCCGGGCCGGGCCGCGGCCGGCAACCGTCCGGCGGCGGCAACTGAAGTTGGCTCGCCGGCCGGAAGTTCCCAAGTCCGAGTGCCCAGTGCCAGTCAGACCACTGCCATCCGATCATGATCCGATGCCATGATCGGCGGCCGGGCCGCCCCGGCGGCCGCGGTGAGCGTCTCAGTGACTGCCGTGGCACGGCGGGGGCCGCCGCCGGGCCCGGCCGCCGCCGCACGGTCCGTGACGGCCGGGCACGACACTGCAATCTACAATGGTTTCAACCCGATGATGTGAGTCTGCGGGCCGCCGGGGCCCGGCGGGCCCGGGGTCCCGGCCGGGTCACCGGGCCCCACTGGCAGGCTCAGACTCCGATCGGCAGTCACCGTGACCGGCACCGGGCAGGCCGCCTGCCGGCGCGGCACCGGTGACTCTGACCGTCACTCTTAGGAGGCGGCTCAGGCTCCGTCGGAGCCGGCCCCCGGCGGGCCCGGGCCCTCGCCCGGGCCGCGGCCCGGCGCCCGCGGCCCCGGTCATTCACTGTCCCAGACTGGGACCCGGGCCGCTTGGTGACTGACACTCCGACTCGGAGTCCCCGGCAGGCGGGCTGCCGCAGTGCGCGGCCCGCCCGGCGTCCGACGACTCGGGGCGGCCCGGGCCCGGCGGCCCGCCGCCGCGCGGCTCCGAGACTGGTGGGACTGCCGCCTCGCCGAGTCGGATCCGACTCAGGCTGGCCGCAGTGACTCCCGAGCCTTCAATCAGCGGCCGGCCCGGGGCCCCGGAAGCAGTGAAGCCCTGTCCTATAGCAAGTTGCAGTACCCCCTTTGACCAGCCTGTTATGCGTAGTAGGACCGGGTCTTGCTCCTAGGGAAATTTACATGATATCTGCCCTATTCCCTTCCTAGGACCATCCCACCCTAGGACCATCCCTTGAGTCCTGCTGAATCTCTTTCCACCCCTACCCCCTAATGGTACTGGAAGTACCCCCACCTTTACCCCAACCTCCCTCTAAACAGCCTCACACCGTGATATGGTCGCCCTACCCGACACCACCACCCCACAATCCATCCACAATACTACCCACCCTTCAGAAAGACCCCCCCCACCCCCACCCCCTCTTATGCCCGTTCTTTCCCCGCTCGTTTTACATCGACACAGGTCAAAAAATGAGCCTAACCCACCCCCACCATGGTCATTACCCCACCCCCTACACCCACCAGCCCAAGCACTACCCCCTTACACGGGAGTACCCTGGGTCATTGCGCCTCATGATTAGACACCCTCCCCTACCCATTTAGCAACTCCTACCACCACCACCCCTACGAACAATTGACTACCCCTCCTTCGGACTTCACTTTCCTCGGTGTTGAGACAGGAACATCATTTCAGTACCCACCCTTGTCAAAGTATCCACCCACCCACAACATCAATTATTTCATTAACACATTAATAGGTACCCCACCCGCTGCGAACACTACCCCACCCCCATGATATCCCTGCACCCTTGATCCCCGACCCCTCTGACGAAAGGGGATTCGGGGGGTGCTTCGCTATGGGCGTTACTGGGTTATGGCGCGGAGCTTTGATGGAAGCTGCAACTCCTTCCTCCCTCCTCTCCCCATCTCCCTCCCGCGTCTCCCGCGATTTTTCTTCCCCTGCATTCATATCATGATCGCCCTCTTCCTCAGGCCGCTTTCCTTTCCTTGTGCTTCCAGCTTCCGATTCCCTTCCCTGTCTCTGCGCTGGTTTTAACCAACTAAACCTGTGGCTGCTCCTTTTCTGTCTCTGGAGCTAGTCTCACCATAGCTCCTGCTCCTGCTGTACGTTAAGTCTTTCGAGATGTTGCTACCTTTCTCCTGCTCGCTTTCAGTCATGTATTCTCTACCCAACGTTTGCCTCTTCGAACTTGGCGCCAGTATATGATCCACATAACGAGGAGGTGTTTTGGCCTCCTCTTGTTTCAAGAATCTACCCTTTTCATCCATCTTGTTTTCTTGTCCACCATTAGTTCATTTCCTTGTCCTCCACCAGCTCATTTCCTTCTCATCACTTCATGAACCGTTTCTGCAGCTGCCACTGTCTTTCTGCAGAGTGACATCAACCAGTTGGCAACCGGTTGCTGCCTGCATGCCTGCACCTTCCCAACCCTGTCTTTTTCTCTGCTCCTCTTCTGATCTTCCAATATTGTTCAACTGTTGAATAACGTGGAGCTATCGAATGACAGCAACCATCAGGGTTGTAGTATCTCAGTGAACAGTCTGTCGACAAAGATGTCGGGCACGATGAGTTCTCCTAAGAATCCGATTACTATTGGATGCAAGGTGACTTTCTCTCCCGGCAGGCTGTCGCATGTTTGACGTCAAACTTTCATTCTTCAGGTCACGGTCAAGGGGAAGTCCAAGGGCGTGGTGAGGTATATAGGTCCGACCAAGGTGTGATCCTACTCAGTGCTCTACATCGTATGTGAGTTGAACATGTTTTATGATAGTTTGGAGCTGGTATCTGGGTTGGAGTCGAATTAGACAAACCCAAAGGTCAACACGATGGTTTTTATGATGGCCAGAGATACTTCACCTGCAAACCAATGCATGGAGTGTACGCCATTTCTGCTGATGTTCAGGTTAATGGATTGATAGACAAATCGTTGACACTGATATGCATTCGTCTAGCCATTGAAGCCGTGGCAATCCGCCGTCCGAGTTATACAAGGGCTTGTGCGCGGAAAAGCTGAGAAGCAAGTCACCGACCACAAGAAAACCTTCTTGGCATGGAATGCCTTGGAGCTGGACGAAGAAGCCCAGCATCATGAACAGGTGATGTTGTTCGGGTTGTATGGTTGTATTCGACTCAACTGGCTCTTGATAGTGCGCTACTCAAGAGCGCGTGGAAGCAATCTTGCGCGCTTCGCATCCTTCGATTGCCCAGCTGCCCAACGAAATTTCAGCGCTGACGCTGGCCAATGCCTGTGGAATGTCTCCAGACTTCATGCAGTGGGGATCGGATATTGAGGTATGGATTTAAATCGAAAGTCTTTCTGATGATTGAATGCCCCTTTCCAGGTGGAGGCTGATTACGAGGGTCCCCACATACAATTCCCCATCACTCCTCAAGGCGCTGCTACTCTTCTACATCACATTCGGTCGAACCCTGACTACCCGGTTCACAAGAAGTACGTGGCTCAATTATTGGGTCGCATATGCCAGCACTTGATGGATGACAAAGTTGGTGCTGTGAACCATATTGAGGTTCCACCGAAGGGGAAGTTGGTAGTGTTTGGCGACACGCATGGTCAGCTTGCTGACTTCCTCCTTGTGCTTCAACGTCATGGCCCTCCATCAGATAAAGTAGCATATTTACTCAATGGCGACATTGCTGACAGAGGAGATAATTCGCTTGAGATTTTTGTTGTCATTCTTGTTTACAAGCTGCTCTATCCTAACAGAGTTTTTATCAACAGAGGCAATCATGAGAATCATGACATCAATAGGAAGCCCGCGGACTGTGGAGGTGGATTTTATGATGAAATCATGTACAAATTGGATGGCTCCATATTTCTGATGTTCCAGCAATTTTTCGAACTTCTTCCATTGACGACCATCATCAACAAGCAAGTCTGTGTGCTTCATGGAGGTATTCCACGAGTGGAGGGGCTTACCTTGAATCGTGTCAATTCGATCGTTCGAAGGCGACAGTGTCCAAAGATTGTTCAAACCATAGATGATGCCATCTTATTTGATTTGATGTGGGCAGATCCACAGGAGGCTAAGGGCATTGCCATGGCTGCTCAGAGGGGACCCAATTGTCGTAAGTTTGGGCCCGATATCACCAAACGATTTTTAGCGGACAATTCCTTATCTCTCTGCATCCGATCCCATGAAGTTCCGATTAGTCTCAGAGGGTTTGAAGAAAGGCACGAGGGACGCTTGCTTACAGTGTTCAGCGCGAGTAATTATTGCGGACAAGCTGGAAATTATGGAGCGATTGTTGTATTTGATGATGAAATGAGCTATACGCTTGAGGAACATATGGCACCAGATCTTGACGCTATGATTCTCGAATATAACAAGACTGCAACTATACCGCCTATTGCGCCCAATCCTCTGATACAGCGTAAGAATTCAGAGAGAGACCGCCCACAATCGCTTGCGCAGAGTAGAGAGCTGATGAATCATGAGGTGATCAGCAAGTTGGAAGTGAAGATATGCCAGTACAAGGATGAATTATGGTGGTACTGGAAGCGAATCGATGAGAACGGGACTGGTATGATTCCAGCTGCAAAATGGCGAGAAGGAATGACCAATACATTGAAACTTGAAATTCCATGGTTTTCTCTACAAAATGAGCTTGCACGTCCGAACCAGAATGGCGAAGTGGATTATCGTGATTTCTTGAATAGGATCCGCAACAAAGCGATCATGACAGGCTTGAAGAAAGTTGATAACTCATGGGAGAAGCAGGTAAATGTGTTCCATGTTCAAAACTGAAACGTTTTGATGAGTTGTATCAGATCTTAGTCACGTTGTATGAATCCATTTTGATGGCTGACCTGACTCTGAAACAAACTTTGGCTGAGTTTGACCCGGATGGCGATGGAGTTGTCAGTCCATGGGAGTTCAAACAGGTGGATTCATAGACAGCGAGCAACTTTCCCTGACAAAGTGCAGGCACTGGAAAAGGCGAAAGTTGACATTCCCGACGGCCAGGTAAAGCTCTTTTCATATCGCGAATGGCTTGAAATGTTGTTTGTATTGCTACTGTGACTGCCCTTGTTGGCGCCTCTTGATTGTCGTTGTAGTTAACAGCGCTTATGCGCTTGATCGAAAAAGATGGCGGCAAGCTCGACGTGGGTACATTCCTTGATAGGTTCCAATTGGTGTATTCTCGTGCTGCGGATGAGGGACTGGAGAATACAAATGTTGGTAATGGTGAACGTGCGCGCGATCTTCTTACGAGAGTCGGACGGCATCTTCTTCAGAATCGGTATCTTATCGTATTTGCTCATTCCCCGCGAGAGAAATGAACATTTGTTCCAGCGAGAAGAATCGTATGAGCATCTTTGAGGAAGCAGATATCGACGGAGATGGGTTCGTTCAGGAAGGCGAATTCTACAAGATGATAGACAAGTTGAATCTTGTGCCTCCTATATCGATGGAAGAGAAGAGAGAGATGTATCGGTATCGACTTTTTGATCGACTTCAACTCTCTTGGTTGAGTCTTTGACTTGTTTTAGGTATGTGGATGTCAACGGGGATGGTCATCTCAACTACCTGGAGTTCTGTGCTGCCTTCAAGGCAAAGGTTTTTTGTTTCTTTCCTGTCAACTGATTGGGTAAATTCAACAGGTCGTCGGAATGGATAATGAGGATGAAGCCATTTCAGCAATCGGTTTGCTTGCGGCTTGTGTGGTGTTGCGAGACTGAACCAATATTTTAGTTGAGACCATCGTCTCTGCACTTCAAAAGAACATGCAGGTACGTTGATCAAGACCGATGGCCATAAGATGTTTGGCCTCTTTTCTGACAATGTTCCACAGTCTCTCGAGTTTGCGTTTCGATTCTTTGATCGGAAAGTGAGTTTCTCTTGCGAGAACGCACCGTTTCTAAGTTGACGTTCTGAAGGAACTCGGTCATATTCCTGTGGACGACTTCAAAGCAGGCATTCGAGCGTTGAATGCCTCCATCAAGGCCATGGCAAGCGCTTTCTTTCCTCATCCCCTCCTCTCTTGGCTCCTCTCTTCAGCTCGACTCGCATTGTCATTCTCTGCTTCTCCCTGCTCATTCGCCCGTCTCTTGCTTGTAACTGTCGTCGGCAGGGAAAGTCGGGACCCCTGACCGAAGATCAGATTGACGTGAGCCGCTGACTGGAAGCAAGAGGTGCACGTGTGTATGACACCATTGCAGGTTCTGGTCAAGTATGTCGACACAGATGGCGATGGGAAGGTAGACTATCAGGAATTCCTCTCGGCCTTCAAGCCAAAGTAATTCTCCTATGCTTAGTTTGCTCTGGTTCTTTCGTTCTTTGACTCTTTGGCATCAGGGACAATCGATTTGCCCCCATCACAAAGTGACCAAAGTCATCATCATTGACTGATATGACTATTGTGACAACACTTTGGCTCTTCTTAAGTTTCCTTTCTGTTCGCTACTTGTTTGACTTGCCTTTGGGTCCAACATTTTTCCCCCTTTGTCGATGCACAAAATTGTTCCAACTTCACACAGTAAACACCCACACTTACATTCCGGGCCTGGTAGTGCCCATCGGCGGAGCCTGAGGCCACTGCCGGGCCGGGCCAGCCTTCAAGCGTCCCGCGGGGCCTTGCCGGGCTCAGCCCGGCCTCCTCACTGAGTCAGTAGTCCGATACATCATCGGCGAGTCATCCGAGTCACCGTGATTCTCTAGTCACTCGGCGACTGTCTAGATTTGGCCCGTGAGGTCACGTTTACACTCTCTGATCTAAGCTCCCTGATCCGAGTAAACTCTCTGATGTAAACTCTCTGATCTAAGCTCTCTGATCTAAGCTCTCTGATCTAAGCTCTCTGATCTAAACTCTCTGATCTAAGCTCTCTGATCTAAGCTCTCTGATCTAAGCTCTCTGATCTAAGCTCTCTGATCTAAGCTCTCTGATCTAAGCTCTCTGATCTAAGCTCTCTGATCTAAGCTCTCTGATCTAAGCTCTCTGATCTAAACTCTCTGATCTAAGCTCTCTGATCTAAGCTCTCTGATCTAAGCTCTCTGATCTAAGCTCTCTGATCTAAACTCTCTGGTCTAAACTCTCTGATCTAAGCTCTCTGATCTAAGCTCTCTGATCTAAGCTCTCTGATCTAAACTCTCTGATCTAAGCTCTCTGATCTAAGCTCTCTGATCTAAGCTCTCTGATCTAAACTCTCTGATCTAAGCTCTCTGATCTAAGCTCTCTGATCTAAACTCTCTGATCTAAACTCTCTGGTCTAAACTCTCTGATCTAAGCTCTCTGATCTAAGCTCTCTGATCTAAGCTCTCTGATCTAAACTCTCTGATCTAAACGCTGTCTGGGAACAATGGGAATGCTACGAGGAATGGTGGCGCTTCTCCTGGCGGCCTCGTCGAGCTGCTTCAGCCTCCTCCCTTCTCCTCCTTCTCTCACTCCTCCCTCCTCCTTCTCCTCCTCTTCCTCTCTTGCTTCCTCCACCTCCCCAGCATTGTTCACACCAACTTCATTCCTGCAACACCGCAGGAGGAGCATGCAAGCGCACAGGCTCTCTCTCTCATCGTCCACCGACATCTCAGCAGGTTTCTTGTCTCCCAACTTCTCGTATTCACTTCCTGCAAGCCTTGCAGCGCAAAGTCATCGACAACTTTCTCGGCCTGTCAAGTGAGGTTTACTTATCTTTGCGTGTTGGCTCAGCCGGTCGCAGCGCAAGGCGACGGAGCTCGAGACATCGACTCGCTCATCGGTCTGTGCTCTCCCCACATCGTCGCCCCTGCTCAAGCTCTTGACAGCTCAGCTGGTTCGGTCTGGGTCCTCGTGGGATGCTGAGCTGCTCTCAAGCGGCCCATGGCTGGTGCTGCTGCCGCTTTCCTGTCTTGGCCCCCTCTCCTCACTCTCGCTCAGGCTCTCTACACACAGGGGAAGCCTCCTCGCTGGCAGGTCTCCACCTCTCCTTGCCCTGCTCCTTTCCAGGCCTGACCTTCCGCCTCCTGCAGCGCCAGGCCCAGTGGCTGCCGTGGGCGAGGAACGTGGCCTCGCAAGACTACGACGTGGGAGGGGGGCGAGTGAGGAACAGAGGAGAGATCTGGGGGTCGCGAGTGTTCGTGACAGTGGAAGGAGAGCTGGTGAAGGCAGAGGGAGAGGCTTCATGCATATGTGACCCTCCTCTACAGCAAGAGCTTCAGCCTGAGAGAACCTTCACCCCCAAGATGTTCCAAGCTGGCATCCAGTCCGGCACCCTGCACGGTGAATCCTCCGTCCTCCCCCAGCCCCTCCCCAGCCCTCCCTCAGGCATCCCTTCCGCGTCTTGATGTTTCTCACCCTCTCCCTCCCCTCTCACCTGACGCATCACCACAGTCTTGGGCCTAGAGATTCCTCTCCCGATCAGAGGTCGAGGCTTCGCTAAGCTTCTGGTTTGCTCCTTCCTCATCCTCTCTCTCCCTCCTCTTGTCACATGCTTGCAGTACCTCGATCGGAATGTTCGTATCTTCCAGAGCCCCAAGGAGTCAGGTACTTCACCTCACCCGTCGCAGGGCTTCTCCTCTCCTCTCCTCTCCTCTCCTTGCTCCTCCGCTTGCGTGCCTGTGGGGCCCCCTCTTCTCTCTGCCTCGTCCCGGGCGGGTGTGTCGGGCTTGTGACAGGACGGCAGAGTCGGAGTGGGAGGAGGAAGGGCTGGTAGTGGTGCAGGTTCCAGCCTCTGCCTTCTCCTTCACTTGAAGTGACCGGGGGGGAAGAAGCTGATGCTTGAGTCTCTCGTGCGGAACTGGAGGAGCTTGGAAGCCTCCTGTCTCCTCCTCCTCATCTTGGGGTTCTGTCGAGACGTCAGAGCATGTCGAGCTGTCATGAATGAATCTTTTCCTGCAAGCGCACGAGCAGCTGACCGTGGACTGATAGCAGCGAGTGAGAAGAACAGGGGGAGGGAGGAGGAAGAGGAAGAGGAGGAGAGGAGGAGGAGGAAGAGAAGGAGGAAGAAGAGGGGAGAAGGAGGAGGAGGAACAAAGAGGAGGAGGAGGAGCAAAAGGAGGAGGGGAGGAGAAGGAGGAGATGGTGTTGGTGGTGGTGGAAGAGAAGCAGGACGAGTCACCAGCTGTGGAGTGTCCCGAGAGGAGGGGAGAGACCTCGAGGACGAGGTCTGCGAGACCTTCACCTGCACGCACATGCTGAGCTCTTGCAAGACCGACGGGCCTGACCTCGTCGAATCGAGAGGTCGGGGGAGGGAAGAGGCGAAGGAGGCGCCTGAAGGAGGGTGAGCGATGCGAGAGAAGGAGGAGGAGCGAACTTGCGCCAGGACTACGACGGAGAGGGAGCGAGAGGCATCGGAACAGAGGACGTTGAGGTAGTGGAGGAGGTCGAGGACTGCAAGGCTGTCAGCGTCTCCTCGCCTCCCTGCTGCTCTGCCTGTCGACTGGTCGTGACGAGAAACGTCGAGGAAGTTGTGCAGACTGTCGAGCAGGAGGCAGCAAGGTTTCTCTCTGCGCGCAAAGTCGTCGAGGATGGGTATGACCGTGTCCAGCAGGCGACGAGCGGAGAGTGAGAGATCCTCTTGCAAGTCGATGCTGAAGCTGAGGCCCTTGGACCCCCCCGCCTACCAACGAGTAGCAAGTAAGATGGGCAACAACCAGAAGAGGATAAGAGGGCAGGAAGCAGCAGGAGTAGGAGCAGGAGAGGGGTAGCGCATCCCTCACTTCACCTGCTCTTCTTGCTCATCGTTGGTGCAGCTGCCGTAGGGTCTCGTGAAACCATCCACGAACACAAAGTCTCCTGCTTTCTGCTGCGAGCTCAAGTTCGTCCCCATCCTCCGACAGACAGACGAGTAATGCTCCATCCCCTGCTCAAAGCCGACGAGACAGACCCCTGCTCCTCCTCCATCAGCTCCTCCTCCACCAGCTCCTCCTCCATCCGCTCCTCTCTTCTCCTACCGCATCCGAGGCGCGAGTAGTAGCTGACAAAGTGATGCAGCAACAGCGCGGCTTCTCCGGTTGGCGCTGCGTCCTGTCGAAGGCAGGACGTGAGTCAGGTTAGTAGACAGCCAACGAAGAGAGCGAGAAGTGCAGGGTAGGAAGGGGAGGGGAGGAGGGGAGGGGAGGAGAGAGGAGGGGAGGAAGGGGAGGGGAGGGCAAGAGAGAAAGGAGGGAGGAGTGTGGGAGTAGACCTTGATCAAGATGAAAGAATTCTGTGGGGGTTCATCTCGAGGGAACTCGAGGAAGGCGTTGAGATCTTCGAACATGTTCCAACCTTTACAGCTGCAGCATAAGACAAGCCTGAGATCAACACTCGTCAACTATACTAGACCTCCTCCTCCTCCTCCTCCTCCTCCTCCTGCTCTTCCTTCTCATATCCTTCCCATTCCTCTTCTCCTTCTCCTGCTCATCGTCCTCGTCCTCGTCCTCCTCTCATCCCCTGTCTTCCTGTCCAGTGTCTCCCCCTATCACCACACTCAGCTCTGCTCTGTCCTGCTCTGCTCACTCGCGTTCCTCCATACTACTGGAGTCGCTTTTTTGTCTGCATCATATTACTGGTGGGGGTGGGGTGTATCTGGGCACGAAGGGGGTGGGGGTTGAAAAGAACGGGGTTCTGTGCACATGAGGGTGGGTACTTTTGGGTGCGGGTTTATTTACTATGGAGGGGTAGGGTCAAATTTACCTATAGAGGATTACTTAGGTACCGGTCATTGGAAAGAACTGGGATTAGAGGGGTAGTCATATGCAGTTGAATGGGTGGGGTCGACCAAGTGGTGAGCACAATGATTCCATTTTGCGGCCTCCTATGATGGATCGGGCAGGAGGAGGAGGAGTGCCTTGGAGGAGGAGGTGGTGGTGGTGGTGGAGGAGGAGCATCTGGAGGCAGAACAGGATCAGGACCAGGATCTCAGGATCTCAAGAGGAGGAGGAGGAGGAGGAGGAGGAGGTGTGGTGGAGGAGGAGCAGGAGGAGGAGCAGGACAGGGGGCACGTTCAATAGCAGGATCAAGAGCAAGGGCAAGGGCAAGAGGAGAAGGAGCAAGAGGAGGAGGAGGAGGAGGAGGAGCAAGATGAGGAGGAGCAAGAGGAGGAGTAAGCGTAGTACATGCACAACATTAGTCTCTATGTTGATTCGGCTCCACCTGATCGTCTCGTCAGGCGCTGACAGCAGGTCGTCGACTTGTCTTGCAAAATGCGGGTGGTTAAGAAAGTTCTATGCGGCATCGCCCTAGCGCACATGGCGGTACGTCAGAGGTTTGGGATGGGCAGGGGGTGGGCAGGGGAACTAATGGCAAGGAGGAGGAGGAGGAGGAGGAGGAGGAGAGGGAGGAGGAGGAGAGGAGGAGGGGGAGGAGGAGCATGGCTGATGAGGGTGTAACTCCTTCAGAATGGGTTTTCTCTTGTTCCGGGTCAAGTCGGATCTTCTCTCTCTTCCTCTACTGGCTTCAGCCTTTCCCCTCCGTCTCCTCTGCGCCGGACGACGAGAACATGTTCTGTGAAGATGATGGCGAAGAAAGTGAGCTGCTGCTGCTGCTGCTGATGTTTTGGTTCTCGGCTCGTATCTTATCTATTATTGCAGGGAAAGAAAACTTCATCCTCCGGTGGTCAGTCCCTCCCACCTCCTGCCTCCTCCCTCCCTCCCTCCCTCCCCCCTCCTCCCTCCTCTGACATATTTGCAGCGAGCAAGGGAGGTTTTGCCAAGAACGTGAAAGGAAACGAAGCTTCCTCCGGTCTCCCTCCTCTCTCTCCTTCCTCCCTCGCTCGTCGCTCTCTGTTGGTCGTCTCCTCTCAGTCCGATTGACTCCGCTAGCAGGAGCAGCACCAGCTCCTGGGGTGCAGGAGGACGTGAAGGCCTCGAAGCCGCAGAGCTCGAAGAGCGTGGAGGGTGAGGTGGAGGTGGAGGAGGAAGATGTGGTGGTGGTGGTGGTGGTGGTGGAGGAGGAGGAGGAGGAGGAGGAGGAGATTGTTGCTCACTTCATGTAGCTACCAAGTCCTCCCCCAGGTCCTCCCCTGCTCCCTCCTCTCCCCGTCCTCCCTCGCCCGCCGCCATAGTTCGTCGAGAGGAGGTGAAAGCCGAGGAGTTTGGCTCCTTCCTCACCCTCCCGCAGCCTCTGGACGAGAAGGTGTTACAGGAGGCTCAGGGAATCCTCGAGGCAAACAAGAAAGACCTTCTTGGAGGTGAGGAGAGAAGAGAAGAGGAAGAGGAAGAGGAAGAGGAAGAGGGAGAGGGAGAGGGACAGGGAGAAGGAAATTGAAGAGAGACGGGAAAGACTTTTGAGGAGGAGACATGGAGACGATTGAAAAAGAGTTGAGCACCAGGAGCAGGAGCAGGAGCAGGAGCAGGAGCAGGAGCAGGAGCAGGAGCAGGAGCAGGAGCAGGAGCAGGAGCAGGAGCAGGAGCAGGAGCAGGAGGAGGGCGGGGAGGGGGGGAAATGGTCTAAGTTGTGAGCAAGGAATGGGGAACCTGCCACCGAAGACGTTTCAAACGCCGGTAGATGAAAGTGCCTTGTATTCACTTCCTCTGACTTGGTTCAGGATGGTTCTTATCGCTCCCTACCTGAGAACTATCTCTACGGTCTGCTGCTGCTGCTGCTGCTGCTGCTGCTGCTGCTGCTGCTGCTGCTGCTGCTGCTGCTGCTGCTGCTGCTGCTGCTGCTGCTGCTGCTGCTGCTGCTGCTGCTGCTGCTGCTGCTGCTGCTGCTGCTGCTGCTGCTGCTGCTGCTGCTGCTGCTGCTGCTGGCTCTCTTCCGTCTCCTCCTCCTCCCTCTTCTCCTTTCTTCTCGCCTTCCTCCTCTCCGTCTCTGAAAGGAATCCACCAGGTGCACGACAAATACTCGAATCTCTTCCTATGCAAGGAGCCGCAGGAGAAAGTCACACAAGGAGAAGAGGGAGGAGAGGAGGGAGAAGAGGAGGGAGAGCATAAGAAGAAGGAGGATCAAGATCCTCCTTCCCTGCTCATCGTCATGGTAATGTGCCTTTTCCTCTCGCTCCCCTTTCCCCTCCCTTTTCCTCTCTACTCCTTCTCCCTCCTACCTGCTTCTCCTCGCTCCTTCGTTCACGCTCTA